AGAATCATTTGAAACATTTCATTTGAGTGCTTGGTTCATTGAATAAATAAATATTTCGTTTTTCGCAAGACTTGAGTTTTATACATTCATTTTTCAGTGCTTAATATGTTTATTTTTCCTGTCAGTCTTTGTATCTGATCATTATGCGGCGTTATCAACGTCCTGCACACTCTGCCGAGCACGAAGGACCAGATAATGTTCGTTCATTGCGTCATCGACATTGACCAGTTACCGAACCCTCTTCTGCCTCTGCTTCGCTGAGTGCAGAAGACAGGCAAGTGCCACTTGTACGATGTGACCGCAGCTGCACTGCATCCTGTATACCCCCTCCCGCAGTGGGTTTTAGCATTCTGCCATTAGGGTTTTCCTTTTACCTCCGGCAATTGAGTTTAAGCCTTTGGTTCCGTTTGTCTGTCTTGCTGTTCGTATCTTTGTCCGTTTGTCTGTTAGCAACATTGTGGAAAGTTGTGAACAGATTCATGTCAGGCCAGAAATGAGCTAGATTCTGGTGTTGATTGTTTAAAACACTAACTAGCGAGCTATTTAATTTGCATTTCAGTGCTTGGTGCAAAACTTCATTTCAGCCTCAACATTTTTAAAAGAGGCTTTTTAAAAGACGTGAGAGTTCTGAGGATGACTTCATTAGATGAGGGATCTAACGCTCTGTCATCTTAATTAGATATTCCCTTAATGAAATGCAGCGGTCGTTTTTTTTTATTTAATCGTTTTTAAATATATTTGCAAACGCAAACTAGAGATCGTTGATGCCCAAGATACAAGTAACGATACTTGATCATCAACGGGTTGACAAGCATCGCCTGGTAGCGTCAACTTAAGGGGCTACGATTGTACTTTTTACTTGAAAGTGTTAATACGATCTTTGCATGATGAACCAAGTGACGACGTTACCAGTTCAACATCAGACCTTAACGCTTGTTAAAACAAAATTATGCATTGGGATATAGAGGACAATATGAGGCACGAGAGAATTTCAAACTAATTCCAATTGAAACGAATTTAATACACCAGCCATCTTCAGAATGCTAAAATGAAAAGTAATTAAGAAGCAGTCACAAAATTTCTCATCTTGTGAAAAAAGGAAGGTGTCGCCATGTATAAAGGTTAGCAAACACCTATAACTGCCAAGCTCCGTTTCTGTGAAAAACACGATTTTCAGTCAAAGTTAAAAGTAAACAGCCAGAGACATGTAAGCCTATTTGGAACTGTGTCTTGAGTACAGTGTGTGTTTGTGTATGCGTGTGTATGAGTGTGTGCGTGTGTGTGTGAAAATGTTGTTTGCAAAGTGATAGGGCTTTACATCACCCATTCCTTTTTCTTTTTACGCAATACTATTTTTTTTTTCTCTGTCATCACAAATGTTGTATCAAATCTTCATTTCGCTGCTGCGCTGTGACCAATACTAAGTGTACCCACATGGTCACTCAGCTCCCTGCTTCCTGCTCTCATATTTGACATAGCGCTCTCGCTATGTGTTCACTTACCACCTCTACGCCTCTCTCCTCAATTGCCAAGTCTTTGTCACCTGATAAAACATTGACAAAGCACACACTCGAGTTGAAATTTGAAATCGACTTTACTGTTGACTTCGCACATTTTATATTGTCGCAATATCGAATTTTTTTCCCCTGTGTAGACTGGCAAAGATGATTCGTGGTGCCGGGCGTAGTCAATGGATCGATTGGAGTATTGTCAGTGTAATCATGTGCGATGCTTTTACAAGAGTAGTTCAAGATTCTTTCAAAGGCATACTCTGGGTTATAGTAGACTAAAATGACAAAATCGTCTACTTGTTCATTTCTTGGTTGACCGTCAGCCTTTTTATAAACTGCTGAGGGTTAGAGGGTTGTCTTTGAAAACAGGACTACCTTATATTACCTTATATTACCTTCGACTAACGCGTTTTGCGTTCTGTCATTGTCAGTTCAAAGTACTTGTATGACCATGGTTGAAACTAAGCCCAACGGGAAGGTTTTATATCGATTTGGCAAACATTACAGATATTACTTCAAAATATGATTTCAAAACGTAAAATGATCCCAGTTACGTGAATGTTTACACATTTCGTTTTTTATCACCTTCTTCCTAATTTGGCCGTAGGTTCTTTTATTTCCCCATTGCTAACGTAGAAGAATGATAGAAAAATTATTTCAATGACACGTAAATAGAGATCGAAATATCGACTCCAGTTATTACATTCACTAATAATACGAATAGTTGGTGCTTGGAATTTATCTATCGTCCAACTGGTTTCTTTCATGTTCTCGTTTCGTGATTCACGTTTTTATTAGGGTCACAATATTTTCTGCACAATTGGGGGCGGATCCAGGATTATTGAAACGGAATGCAAAGCCGACCCACCTCCCACCCTCCTTGGCGTGGGGTTCGAGAAATGGCCCCGAAAAAATTTGGTATTTTAGAGGGAGAACAGTGCCATTCGGTACGGTTGTGAACTATGATCAGCTGGTCAAAATTCGCATTACAAGAGGGCCATTGGTGTGATTTTTTTCAGAAATCGAAGGGGGGCTCAGGACCTCCCTGACCACCCCTCCCTCCCCTCCCAAATCTGCATTTAACCTTATGGTTGCCTCTGAGAAGCCCGGGACGTACACATACAATGTTGACCTGTGGTCCATTAAACAGTTTCCTCTCACAATTGTGTTAGATAAGCTAGTGGTGTTCTTACTGAATGCGTTTTCCGTCCATCTTCAGTGTCTCAGAAAATATAAAACGATTGATACATGTAAATGCCCATGTCAAAACGAACCATAAAAGCAAACCCAATTTCACGTGATGCCACTCGCGCTCTCCACCCCTCCCCTCAGGTTTGACTCTTTTTCGTCATTTTCCAACTCAAGGACGCGAACAACGAAAGGGCACATTGACAGACACAAAACGCAAAAAAGCAAAGTTAAAAACAAAATATTTTATTGGCACTAAATTGCTTTAAGCAACACATAACATGGTTTTGCCATTGAACTGCAAAAACTGGCCTTTCTACTCCCTCTTCTTGGAAGCGCATTCATAAAACATGTAACATATAAGCTCTTGCAAGGCACGTCACACTATTCTTCGCCTCATGTACCCGTATGGCTCTACTCGCCTAATATATGGACAAAAATTTACCAGTGCTAAACTCTTTTTAATAAAGGCAACGAGAACATAAAACTACGGAAAGGAGCAAAAAATGTTCATTAGTGTTAGATCATAAACGATAATCACACAGCACACGCTGTTTTTTTTTTTTTTTTTTTTTTTTTTTTTCACATCAGTTCAATGAAGGCCTCCGACTGAGTTGGCCTTAAGCTAACGGTGGGAAAATTCATCTTGTGCTGAATAATAATCGTTTATGATAAAACGTGGTATTTGCATATTGTCCTTGTATATATATATTGTATGTAGTATGGCTGGTAGCACAGCAGTATGCACTTCAACAATAAACCAAAGTTCAAGATACAAAAATAGAAAAAATACGTCCTGTCTTGCCTTCCCTCCAACTCGGGATTTTATTTTGAATAATGAAAAATAAACACTTATTAGAATACTACAAGTCTATAAAAAGGACTAGATATTAATATACTAAATTACATGGAATAAAAGAGATGCATATACCACTGCCTACTTAAAGAGAACCTTACATGTGTCACAGGTAGAAGAGAAAAGATTAGAGATTCAGTTTGGCACGAGGCCAACTGTTTAATTCAGCGCCCTCAGTATCAGAGCATATTAAAAAGCAACACCAATGCTGCTCATATAAAACAATTCCTTCACTGAATGTAGCGAGTCTTGGTATTTGACTTCAAGTAATCACCCTTCACTTATTTGAATAAATATTCTTGCACTGTAAAAACTACCTGCACAGAGTTCAAAATTAACAATTACCGTATACAGGAATGTCAGTGACCTATAATCTGAAAAATAGAGTAGTGCCAAAAGTATTGTGACCCAAAGATCAGGCAATCGTTAGTAGATCAAAACTAAACAGAGACCGGTTACTTATTCCCAGTGATGGATTAAGACGACGAGTCTCAGACAAATAGGGACACACTGTACACTGTATCTACAGCCCTTGCCTTACATCAAACTCCACAATGCATACTAACACTTCTATAATCAAAGAACAATGTTCACCACAGAGCTTACTTATCATAATATAACGCCAAATCCCAACTTACTTAAACGTAGAAAATCTAAAAGATCCATTGCCAAGGAGGCAGGGCAACACAGCAAAAGAAGAGTTATTTCAGTTCATGTCTACCTATACTAGTTCATGCTTTTATCATACGTCAGTCTTTACTATAGGCAAGATTTCATGCTCATCATTCGCTACATATAAATCTATTTTTTGAAACATCTACATCTCTACGTTATATCAAAACTTTGGTCTAAGATCTAATTAATGTGAACCAAAAACACTGCACAGTTACAGTCTGTGCTCCAGCTTTCAGTGCTACATCAACTACAACATTAACTACAACAGAGATTATATCAGCAGTATATCGAACTACGCGCGTGAGTCTGCGATTCCAAACACCCCTGTGAGAACGCCGAGGATGAGCCCGCAGCAGGCTAGACCATAGGAGTAGTGAAGCTCCTCGATGTCTGGTTTCCTGGCCCCGTATATCGCCACTCCGATCAGAGAGAACACACCTGCAATATAACACAACAGGGCGCAGTTAACACATGGGACTACTTCATAGCCTGAGTGCGCCTTAAAACAAGCGTCTGTCACGGTATGAAAATAGAAAAATATATGATCAAATATATAATCGACATTAATCATATGTGAGACCCTGGTATCCGTAAGTCTCTTCCCTTATCAGTGCTATTGCGTTTTAATTACTCACAGACTCATATTTTTCTTAAAAGAGATAAACACCAGCTTAAATGCACGTTGCTATGGTAACGTCTCTTACCAGAGATAAAGCAGAGGAATATCCAGACTGAGGCCACAGGACGCTTCCTTAGCGGTGACATACAGGAGTAGAGGAATAAGATGACCAAAGTCACTGCAAACCCGCCGCTGCCAATCATAAACGTCCACTGTACCGCCTTGAAGTAGTCTGCAATGACAAAGAAATGGAATCAATAAATTATAATAACAGTGGGAATCCTGTCTTAAATTCTTTCTTATAAATATTACTATGAGATCATTCCCAGAGACTACCGCACTAACTTTGGATCGCACTATCGCCGAGGAAATTCTCGCTTAATTGAATTTAACTTGGGCGGCTTAGATGCCTGTCATGCCTGCTGAACCTGATAGGGGGTAGTTAACTGGAGTTAAGCATCTTTAGTGGGCGTCCCAGACGTCTAAGCACGTTGGGCTGAAAGCAATTTAGCGAGGGACCCCGTGGAGATGTACCGATCCTGTTAGATCGATCTAGGGATGGGAACCCAGTCTATTTGACTTTCTTTCAAGACACCCTCTTTTAAGAAATGAAACGATCACTGATCTTCATTTCCAGCTGATCTTTTATTCACACCTGTTGGTGGTGTTCACCTTTCACACTGACAGTTCTATATACATCAAAACAAACTGTAAAGGCTAAGTTAGTCCAGTAGAATATTCTATCAAATGATACTAAACACATCTATATTATCACAGTATACGACTGTTACATGCAGGTTGGTCAAGATCTCATTCCTTCAAAAGAGAGTAGCTGGGTTAATGGAGGGGGGGGGGGGGTGAGGACGCACAATTTTGTTACCATAAAGTCCCATTTGCGATTTTTATATAGCCTTACTTAAGTCAAGGACTTCACATTCATAATGTGTATATTTTATAAATTATATCAGAATTGTTTATTTAAAAACATTCTGATGTCGGGATTAAGGTTTGTTCTCTATATTCCAATAGGCTAAGTCAACATTAAGTTGCTCGTCTTCTGACAGTTGTATCGTATAATACTAGGCTTTATCAACTAAGTGTGGTATTTTGGGCGTTACCAGGTTTTTTTATATCTTACCTATCTCCAACAGGGAAGCAGGAAAAATGCGCCCGTTAAACGATAAAGCGGCGTTAACATATCTTATTTATTAAAATTATTTTCTTGTAAGATTCCCATTTTCTTTTTATACTCTATATCTATGAAAATACTACCTAGGCCACTACTGGTGGTGTCCTGGCTAGCGGCCACACAACATGAAAACCATTAACTCTGACCTTGGAATTCTTTCCGTCACCGATACTAGGCCAAGTCGTATTTCACTGCGTTATTAATTTAGCCCGAGGTTAACGGGGTTCGACCTCTGCGGACAAATATGCACAGTAAATACTACATTGTATTTTAGTGCCTATAGTGTGTTTATCATTTAAGTTACATTTCCCAAATGCCTAGTCATTAAATCTCACTTAAGTCTAGGGCGTGTCTCTGATACTAATTCTGCCATTTGAAGGTGTAACTTTTACACTACAGTGTGGAGGTTATTTAAACACTTGTCTTCACAGTGAGAAATGAGGTACAGGTAAAACCTCGCGTGACACATGCTAGTGTTATCATTGAGAAGGTATTTTAGACTGCCCAGCGACAAAGTCCTGTAGCTGTGTAACCCGCCCCCGCAACACTAGAAAATGGGAACGCCTAGAAAAGAGGTTATTTCCATACTCCTAAAAAATTGCCATTTTGTCAAACTAAAAACATCGACTGCAGATTCAATTTACGAACCATGTTCATAAAACTCACATCATCATGTTTTTATGTGTGACTTGATATGTTAACGACCTGCATTGTCAGCCTTGTCTATTTTACGGAATAACACACCCGCTGTTCACTATGTTCTCCTTAATTGTTACTTTCTATATGCTATTGGCGTTAAATGACCAAACTGAAGAGCCTGTTCTACAATTAATAAGCTCTCAGAACACGTATGTACTGTTAGTTAACGATGGAGAGCATAGAGGCTGTATATATTGACTTTAATAACTACCAATAGCATTGTTAAACGGGCTGAAAAAAGCACCATTTAGGTCAATATTAATATAAACTGCGCTACTTCCAAATGTACTGCGCTTGTATACCTAGATATTCATATATCGCCGGCAGCAGTGTTTTCTGATATGTTTTATATAGACTCATCATGTCCACGCCCATATTGCCGCTCTGAACTGCATAGTTTGAATCATCACTCGGCTCTGCTCTGCATCTGAGCATTCAAGGACGTAAAGCTGGCCACTGTATTGTAATCAGCCGTAGTAATGGCTTCCCAGATACTGGCCAAAATGCTTAAAGAATCTGTTCACGGACTAATGGTCCGTAAAATACAGTCAATCAATCTTACTGGAATTTTCAACAATTCTTTTGAAATAACTCAACGCAAGTACTTGACCAACAAACCCGCCCCCACCCTCATCCCCACCCCTACCCACCCAATACAAAAAAAAAAAAGCACAGCTTCGATCTTCACAGATGAAGAATTAATAGCCACAATTAGCATGCTAACTGCTTAATCGACCTTGACAATTGAAATACCTGCATAAATTAACCTTGTTTGGACGGATATTGAAATCCTGATAAATGAGATTGCATAAACATCGTTCTTTGAGTAACAAAAAAAAAAAATGCAAAAAAAAAGGCTGCTCTTCACCTACAGTACCTATGGGGAGAGAGAAGATGTGAACAGGGAAAACATCAATACAGAAATGGTTAAAGAAAGTAGCTGGTTTTTCCACATTGGTTCGTCTTAAGCTAAGCAATATAGCACTCCATCTTCAACACACTCGAATTATAAACAGCAAAAATCACGAGTATACTTTGTAGTCACGTCGAGGTTGGTTACACCGACGGTAAAACGAGCTCATCCAGACACACCTGACACCCGTCCCGTTACTGTGCATACTGCTGAGAGAGCCGTTTCCAGCAGGGACTGAACCCATACTGGCACCTGCGGCTTTCTTGTGCCTGATATCAAGATTACCGAGATCAATAAGGCGGTGAATACTGCCAGTGTGAAAACAAACAAAACATCAGGATATTAAACTCTGTGTCAAATCTAATTACCCGTATAATATACAGGCCCGTAGCCAGGGGGGGTTCGGGGGGTTCGAAAGAACCGCCCTTTTTGCTGGGAAAAGGTCCACTCTGGGTAAAATTTGTTCTAGGTACATGATATTGTTATGGAAAAAGGTCCACTTTTTCAGAAAACGAACCCCCCTTTTGAAATTGCTGGCTACGGGCCTGATATAGGAAGAATCACAAAGCAGCACATTGGTGTCTGTACAGTGTATGTTACCAATGTACAGTATATTTGGTATCCTTACCGTCGCCATCTCTGTCTCCGCATAAATCCCCTGTACACCACCGCCAGAGGCCTTTCCACGTATTAAAGAAGTCTATGCGAGACCAGCCCATAGTGGCAAAGGCAATAACATTGCATATGTTGGCAAGAAGGAGGAACACAAGGCATATCTTCAACGTTGTCGAGCAGGATAAAGCCATATTGACGCCGGCTGTGCTGGTTCCAATGTATTCAGGTGGTGTTCAATGCACGAGACTAAAACCCTATGTACACTGATCCAGTGCGTAGTATCTAAGCAAGAAAGCGAGGTCAGGCTACAAGCGCTGCCGGTCTGCAATATCCTTTCTCTCTCGAACACAGTGAATGAGCTCTACAGTAGAAGTGAATGCTTGGTAGATACGCCCAGCCATAAATCGCGTCATATGTAAATAGGCCCACACTCCATGCACTAGTAGGATCATTTCCGACCTCTAGTCTCGTTTTACCAATTAAGTAGACAGCTACAATGTAGATCAAAACGAGGTACATGCATGGATGATGCTACCACAGGTTGTCCGTAATACAGCGAATCTATCCAAAAATGTTTTTTTCCTGTGGGGGCGTTACGTTAAATGATTCATTTATGTGAGTTGTACTATAGCACATGATGGACTGCTCACATACACGTGACGGTGAAATCACAGCAGTGTATGATAAACAATGTTCGAAAAGGAGAACCCGTACTTTTTATCATCACATGCATCTATATTGTTACATGTAATTCAATATAACGCATATAACAGTCATACGGTCAATGTGTCTTTTTTTTTTTTTTTTTTTTTTTTT